GGTGAATTCATATACCCCACACCTGTATTACCATACTGTGAGGTGTGCGGAGAATTGATCTCACTTTTTGAGCTATCTGAGCATAATTTCTGACCTTTATCGTTATCCAAGTTGTTCTTGTTTGTCTTTGTTTATTTTCGCGCCGTATCTTAAACAATGGAACACTGTAAAATGTATGTGTTTCTAAATGAGTCGGTCGTGTTTCGGTATGTGAACTAAATTTCTAACACCAACTCTACGCAGATGGTAGGCAATTATATTTACAAATACTTGATTAATATGCAAACTATAAACAATTCAATTCAATTCAAATTTTATTGCATTTTTCGACAAAACTTTGCCTTTGGCAATACATACAAAACATACATAAATCACTTGAAATATAATATACATTCAATACAAATACACAATGTTCACATAAAGTGCAGAAACATATCAAATTTACAATTCTTGCATTGTTTCTAAAACACTAGATCTTAATGCGAATGCTTTATCTAAAAATTTACATAGTTGCAATATTCTACTTTTATTTCCTGATGACATAATAGAATAGAACTTATTTAAAGTTGGAAAAGATACATGTTTTATAAAAGATTTTCTCAGTTCTGAATATAAGGGACAACATAATAAGAAGTGGTATTCTGATTCAACATTTTTATACGGGCATAATTTACACAATCTGTTATTTCTATCAGTTCTCATATATCTACCTGTTTCTATTTCTAAGGAATGAGAACATAATCTAAAACATGATAATTGTTTACGTAAATTGTCATTTTTTACAAAATTAAGATATTCCTCGAAACAAAACTGTGTTTTATATTTCTTATAGTAGTCAAGCTTTGGCATATTATCTATACAGTCATGCCACTGTTGTAAAAATTGATCTCTTATTCTCTGCTTAAATAACATATTATAATTGACATTAACTGCATAGTCATAAATAATGTACGGGAAGCCCATATCAGTAATAACAGAGTGAACGCGTTTAGCCCAGCATTTTTCATTCCCATTAATACATTGGTCTAAATAAATATGGTATGTGGGCGCCTGCTGGCGCTTAACGATTTTATTCCAAAATTGTAAAGCTCTTTCCTTACATAGAACAGACAAAGGAAATTTACCTAGTTCCCCATAGATTGCACAATTTGGGGTCTGTCTTTTGACACCTAAAACATATTTATAAAATCTTATCTGTAGTTTATCAATATCTTTCAGCTTATATATACCCCAAACCTCTGACCCGTATAATAAGATTGGAGCTACCATTCTTTCAAATAAGTATAATTTTGTTTTAACATCGAATTTAACTCTATCAAAGAGTGCGAGAAGATTGTGGTAAGCTCTTAAACCTTGATCTGATAGTGCTTTCACAGCTTCAACAAAGCTACCTGTGTAAGAAAATTTCACTCCTAAATATGTAAAACTATCTACTTTTTCAACCAATTGACCATTTATAAATAAATTAAAATTATGGACTGACTTACGTTTTTCAAATACACATATTTTAGTTTTATTAACATTTATCTTCAAACCCCATTTACATGAATATTCAAAAACATTATCAACTTGTGCCTGCAAGCTTGCAGGGTCAGTTGTAAACAACACAATATCATCCGCAAAAAGTAACAAATATTTAGATAAAAGGTTTAGGTCGTTGTTAGACATTTTGTTAAGATCTATACACTGATCAATATCATTAAGGAATAAAATAAACAGCAAGGGAGATAATGGCTCGCCTTGTTTTAAGCCTAGAGTTACCTCAAAAAAATCAGAAAAATTTGATTTAGAATCAATTTTGACACAAGATAATACAGAAGAGTAAATGGATTTTAACATAGTAACCATTTTACAGCTAACGCCATTTTCAATCAATTTAATCCACAATGCATCTCTTATTACAGTATCAAACGCTTTTTCATAATCTATGAAAATACAATATAGTTTTGATTTGTTGTCAAGTATCTTCTGGATAAGGGAATGTAGAATAAAAATAGCGTCAGCTGTAGATCTAGAATCTCTAAAACCAAACTGTACATCGTTAAAAATTTGTTCTGATTCACACCATTTATTTAACCTATTACGTAGTACTAGGGAAAATATTTTTGCCATACAATTTACTAACGTGATGCCACGGTAATTTGAAGGATTTTCGGGATCACCTTTCTTATAAATAGGTACAATTACCCCTTTACACCATGCTTCAATAAACCAATTGAACATATCAACGATCATATAATATATATCGGACTCTTATTGAACATCATAAATGAAGGGTACCTGATAGGTGTGTTTTCCGATATTTTTATCTTCATGATTAAACAAATGGGAGTTTGAAAGCTATTGTTGGTATAGTTATATTTGACAAAATGCATAACTCAGTAAATTCTAGTGTAACATAAATTGAGTACGTCCTTATGTCAAATAAACTGTTCACTAGTAATTGTAATTTTAACGCAGTGTAAAATGTTATGTGGGAGGAAGTATGTTTAAACAAAACTTAAATATCTCAAATGTTAAACTAGAAAGTAAAGAACTATCAGGTACATTTCATTTAAGAACTTTCCCTTACTTTATATTGGCAAGAACTTTTTTTTACATTTCATTTTAGGACTATTTCAGAATTCAGTCCGTATTGACCAATAAAGATTCTTCTGATACTCAGGCCGCGTGTTCACAAAAGTTCAAGGATCAGGATTAGGTTAAAGTTTAAAAACTCTAATATTCTTAATTGTTAATCCTTATAGATTTATTATCTAATATCAATTTGATAAAACTGGACTTGCAATGGCAAGGTTATGAACTTTTAGAATAAAATAATTGTTATCTTTTGCATGATACGGGCATTTTAATGTTGATCCAAATATTAGTCCTGATCCTAAAATTGATCCTAATTTTGATCCGAATATTTCTGTATTTGTTTTGTAATGTGTTGATTTTATACAAAAAAAAGTGTTGGTTTCTTTGCAAATCAACAATGTTTTACATTTTGATTAGTTACATTTCATTTCTAGCAAATCACGATAAATACTAGAAACAAAACACAACAAACAATAAAATCAGAATCACTTGATCCTGATCCTGATCTTTTCTTAGTGAGCAGGTTAATAGGTTAATAGGTCGAGATATTAAATCTTCTTTTCACTGACCAATATAATCAGTATTCAATTAACATGACAATAAACGCGAGAAATGTTTTCAATCGGTTTAAAGCATAACTTTTTCTTGTTATTCTGACAAATGTCAGATCTGATTGTTTCATTCGTCTTATAGAAATTGTTTTATTAAGAAGTACATCCCGATTCTCTGTTTTTATATACAGAACCCGTATTTGTCAGAATAATGAATTTCGTATTTTTGAAAAATACAGACTTATACAAAAATTACATATTTCAGTAAAATACTGACTTCTCAAAACAAAGTTCCCATTTATTGCAAGTGTACGGATCACGGTAAATAAGTAGTACGGTTTGCATAAGATTCAGTCCCGTCCATCATTGTATTTGAAAATGACCATATTTTTAACCACATACATGTATTTACAAATAATATTGAACTCACAACACTTCCGTATGTCCGTATTATTTTCGTAGTGGTCGTCTAGTGGATGCCGCTAGCTCAGGGCGACCTTTTCAATGGTAAACAGATAACAAAACCATTGTAAAGGCAAGACAATTACCGGAAGGGGGGCAGTTGAGTCAATGACAAGCATTTTTGTGTCAATTCAAGTGAGTATACATTTTAAAGAACGTTTATAGAACAACATAGAAATCGAAATTTTATTTCAGGATTTTCATTTTAAAGCCACTTTGAATCCAAAAAATGTAGCTGAACTAAAAAACAAATTTTACTCATAAATTTCAATTCCTTTCTAAATTTGCCGAAGTAAATCGATAAGTTATATATCAGCCAATGTCCATCAAATAATAGAGTTTGAGTTTTGAGTTTATTTCATTTATTCCATAAGGCTTTTCGCCCATGATGGCAATACAAGCATACATATATACATGTACAATACAAAGTGAGCATGATTTATGTGCATAATACAGCGAACAAAATTAATATTAGATTTACATTAACTTTTCATTGGAGAAGGTCAAGCAAGGTCACGACATAAGAAATCTTTATATTCTTAATAATTTCATTTCATATCATTTAAAGTATGACTTTAATATAAATTTGTTAAGACTAGTAATCTGAAAAACATTATTTTCTCCTTAAATTACAATCAGAATTTGTATATATATATATATACATTGAGATACATGTAGTAATATGTTATCTTTCTCGTAAAAAGAAAGATAACCCTTGCATGAATTTAGTACAATAATAACAATATTTATATATATAGTATAACAAGAACATACAAATTACATCCATTTTTACTACCAGCCTTACCGAAACGAAATGCAAGACGGGAATCATGGATTACATTTAAGCATGAAACATGAAAATTGCATTAAATATCAATTTTCTACATGTCTTTTTTTTATCTAGAACGATGTTTTAAATTCACATTAATATAATGTTGATTTTAAAATAATTTGTTAGCAGGGAGGGCTCGTGTACCCATAACAGTTGGTAAGGAAACAAAGCGACGTATTGTAATAAAACAGGATTCAGTGGGCAATTTTGACGTTCTGTGTGAAAGACATCAATGAAACTCATAGAATAAAATAAACGAAAATTAATCTGAAATATGGTCAATTTCTCACATGTCAGTTTTCAAGACGCTTATTGAAAATTCATAAGTTTCGCCTTAAAATTAAATTTCATCATCATCATCATCAACATCATCATTATCATCATCATTATTATCATTATAATTATTATTATTATTATTATTATTATTATTATTATTATTACTTATTCTTATTCTTATTTTTTTACTTTTAATATTTAAATGCACACATTTAAACATATATGTTTAGTGGGGTTATCAAAGTAAAATGTTTTGTTACCCTTTCTTATTGTGACAGTTTATACTTTGCTTAACTTACCAATAATAGGGCGATGTGCGAGCATTGACCCAGGCTCCTTTTTATAAGCAAACTTTCCAGACACAGAATACATATCACACAGATGAAATCTTCTTCTGTAAACTACAGCATTGATATAAGTATTGTTACTTCGGAAATAACTTAAACACTGTGTATAACTCACATCGGTTATAGATGTAAAGCACGATCTTGTTTCAAGTCCATGATTATAAACAATCATTAAATTTTCTTCTTGGGCGTCTATTATAAAATACATCAAATAATGTAACAAATAAAAACATATTACACTACAAACATACATTTTCCCCAGAATTTAAAAGAAAAACACGTATTTATTTCAAATATATATGTTTATAACTTTTTCCCTAACAATTAAATTGATACATAATGAAATGAAAAAGAGTTACACTTGAAAAGTATAGCATGCGTATGATTAAAATCCAGTCGTATTGTTACTTTTAACGTATTGATTTCTAAATAAACTACAAGTTAAATGTTGATGCGCCGCAAAATGATGTGAACAGTCACAGTAATGTACAAAATCAGCAAATTGCACTCTGCAGTTGAATATCCGAAGCAGTAATCAATATTTTTTTGTTAATTTTTTTGGTATGTGCTGCTTGTTTAATAAATGAAGACGAAAACAAACTTGGGAACAAAAGTGTTTTCCGATGCAGGGAATCGAACCCGGGCAGCCTGTGTCTACAACCTAATGCATAAATTCGCAAAGTAATGCCATGTCAGAAATTCTGATTACTCAGTAAACAATGTTTGTCTGTTTTGAAAAAGATTGAAAGGTCTCCTCCAAGCAAAATAAAGTGGGTAACAAATAAAAATTAAATGTTATATATACTTAAAACAAATTGAAGACAAAAACAGAGGTGGAGAAATAAACTAGTTTTTATTGAACTTTTAAACGTGTTTTTGTTGTTATTAAATGATTTGTATGAATGAAATAATAAAGAATGAAATGTTTTGTAATTAAATATTACACGTTTGTTCGGTAAATATGGTAAATTATCTAAATAGTATATACGGTAAAGGGTCAACTCGTCCCTATACAACTCGGCACAGGTCAACTCGGCAAAGGTCAACTCCGCCCTCTATTAAAAACCTATATTAGGATATAGATTGTTTAATTAATAAAACATTTAAGGAGTAAATAACTATCAAAGTATTTAGAAGTACGATCACTTACACACAGAAATTGAAAAAGTTGGCAGTGTACATGTACAATAGATATATGTACAATTTAGCTCCACGCATGTACGTATTGTTTGAAATTATCTTTGTTAAGAAGAGATATCAAGACTATATATGTTAAATATTGATCCATAAATAAAGTTTTTATAGATTAAATTTTTATCACAATAAATGTTATTTTTAACACTGTATGTTCTTTAATACGACCAATGTTGTTTTAACGTTATTTAAGTAGACAAAACATGCATATAATTGTAAATTCTTCCTTTCTCAAAATTCACATACAAATTGGTACTGTCATCAATAAAACTTTTCAATATCATTGAGTAGAGGTCTGTTACCGTGAAAGTGTTGAACAATGAAAGTTATGATGAAAACATATAAAATGTAATAAAAGTAATTCATTGCCAGTAATATATAATTATGGGCCGAGCTGACCCATGCCGAGTTAGAATAGGACCGAGCTGTAAGCTCGGGGTATGGGCCGAGTTGACCCATGCCGAGTTAGAATAGGACCGAGCTGTAAGCTCGGGGGGGGGGGGGTGCACGTTTTGGGGCCGAGCTGACCATGATTCAGAATATACAGTATAGAAATAATGCATGCTAAAATAACCCAAGAAGGCGACTAAAAAAATAAGATTGGTAAACATGGTTGGTTCATAACTTATACTCAGGCAAACAAATGACAAAAATATAAAAATGGTCTTATGTACTCAAATCACGCTAAAATGACATTTGTAAAAGTCCCAGCATGAATTTCTGTAAAAATTCTATTTATTTTGGGTTTGAAGCGTAAAAATATCTATATATGTTGAGCCGAGAGGATCACCAAGTAGTTAGAAAACAAGTCATGTGACTTGAACAAACCCTGGAAGTTAAGTCATTCATTTGACATGCTCTTTAACCTTTCCAAAGGTCACTGCGACAACTAATGTGATTTTGTTTATGCTCTAACCTGACCCACGTGGGTCAAGTTAGGAAACCACCATTTTATTCTTTATAAGGAGAAAACTTTCGTTCCTAAGACTGCCTAGCGTATTCATTTTACGGACATTTACAGATTAATGAATGAAAAATTCAAAACGAAGAAATGAAAACTTTGCCTGTGTCTCCCTTTAAGAACTAATAACAACAAAAATACGTTTTTAATACATTTTATCGATTTCGTAGACCCGATATTATATTTTCGCTGTACACGGCCATTTTTTGCTCAAACTGCACTTTTTTTAGATATTTTTTTTTTTATTCTGAAATTTTGATTTGCTGTAAAATCATTCAAAGAATGCATAAATATATGATTAACATAATTGTTTAAATAGATAATGCACTATTTCAAAAATAAATCTTATTAGTCCCCTACCGGTTAAACCGGAGGGGACTTTAGGTTTACCCTCCGTCCGTCTGTCCGTCTGTCTGTCCGTCTGTCTGTCTGTCTGTCCGTCCGTCAGTCAGTCCGTCCGTCCAGAAAACTGGATCCCGCGATAACGCAAAAAGTACTGAAAATATTTTAATGAAACTTGATATATGGATAGATGGCAGTATGGAGATTATGAAAGTCTTTTTATTTTCTTCCTATGTAGAAAATTCTGGTTGCTTTTGCAACTAATAGTCTGAAAATATGGCAAATTTAACACATAAACTGGATCCCGTGATAACTCAAAAAGTACTGAAAATATTTTAATGAAACTTGATATCTGGATAGATGGCAGTATGGAAATTATGCACGTCTTTTTCTTTTTTTCCTATGTTGAAAATTCTGGTTGCTTTGGCAACTAATAACAGTCTGATTTTTTCCTATGTTGAAAATTCTGGTTGCTTTGGCAACTAATAACAGTCTGAAAATATGGCAAATTTAACACATAAACTGGATCCAGTGATAACTAAAAAAGTACTGAAAATATTTTTATGAAACATAAAATATGGGTAGATGGCAGTATGGAGATTATGCACATGTTTTTCTTTTCTTTTTATGTTAAACATTCTGGTTGCTATGGCAACAAATAGACTGAATTTCAAGATTTCTGTTTAAATTTTTTAAGCTTTTTCACTATAAGTTCTTTATTTCTTAAGGTGTTTACTTCAAACTTTAAATATAAGTATTTGGTCATCAACCACATCATATGTGACAAGGTTTACAACTGTATCACAAAATTTATCAGAATTATCTCCCTTGAACTTAGAATTTTTATGAAAAAAATGTTGTCTTTTTTTAAAATAACTTCTTTATTTCTTCATGTATCTACTTCATACTTCATATATATGTTTCTTATTATCACTCAACATTTTTGAGAAGGTTAAATACTCTAGCAAGACTATTTTCAGATTTATGTCCCCCTTGAACTTAGGTTTTTTTTTCGAGAAATTGGTATTTTTTACTCCAACTTCTTCATTCCTTAAAACTTAGAGTAAAACTTACATCATATATGACAATGTTCATAAATCTAGCATCTTTATTTCAAGAATTATCTTCTCATTAAGAATTTTGCATTAAAATATGTTATATTTTGGTAACAGGGATGTTTGAAAAAAATACTTTAGAGTCTCCTTCAGTCTGTCTGTATGTATGTCTGTCTGTCTGTTCATAAAAACTGTTTCGTGAGATCACTTTTAAAGATTTTTTCCAACAAATTTACTTAAAAAAGAGAAAAGTTGAAACATTAGTTATTCTTATTCATCCTGAGAAAATTGGACCTTTTGATTATTTGTTGTATAAACATAATTTCCTTACTAGGCAGGGAAACTTAACACATTACTGTGATATAGACAAACTTAGAACTCAAAAGATTTAAGTTCATTCATGTCATTCATTCACTGGTAAAATTGAATGGCCAATGGCCCATCAGAATGTTGCTGGGATTCTAACCGATAGGGGACTTAAGAATTGCTTGCAATACTATGATAATTGCTTGTTTTCGTAGTCGCGAACATGTTTTTGCGAAAATAATTTACACGTGTGGTTTAAACACCTAAAAGGGTATTAGGGTTAAACAATACCAAAATCCACCTAGCCTACAGTGTCAAGAAAAACTCCCCGACTGACCGAGGCATAATTTAATGATTGTATACTAAATTTAAGATTTTCAATTCAACCTCTTTTTATTATTTTCAAAATGTAAGTTTACACTTATCCGTGTTTGTTCTAAAACAAATTCTTTATATCGTCGAATCACTTTTGTTGAACGTTTATTTAATTCCATGACGCCCGGTGACATGTTGATCATCAGAAAAGCTATTTTTATTCGACAATCTGAAATATGATAAACAAGATCGACAAGGAAAGGCGGCATTCAATGAACGCAGCCCCCACCCGACCCAGCAACAAGCTGTGTAATTTTGTTAGAACAAAAAAATTAAACAAAAACAAGACTAAAATTTTCCCCTATTGCTGACTGAACGAATGCATATGTAATGGACGCCGCGTGCATGTGGCGTTTAACAATGCAGCAAATGGCACATTCTTGGTTTAACAATGAGTAGAATACCAACTGATAGTAAATGTAACGAATCTATTTAAAATTTTAAGATATTCAGGATAGCAGCCCAATATATAAAATCTTTGTTTCAAACTACGTCTTGAAAGCTACACGTTATATGCATTTGAACATGTAAACATAATTAAAAAAATCATTTATTAAACTAATTTTAGAATGGCAAATGAGATTCCCGGATTTCAGTTTGTAATTTTGAAATGACCAATGAACAATATGTGCAATCAATTATTATCAAAATCAAAGTCGTCATAATAGATTTTGGACCGATAAGAAACTGTCAACGCTATATTCATGCAGTGTATGCATGTAATTTGAGTACGCATAGCTATAGTAATATAATTGTTATTATTTCGCTATTTTTTCGCAAGGGATAAAATGAGTTTCTGATACAGTTGGATGAAACAAAAAAGATTCGAAAAAATCTGGAAATAATATATGATTGACTTTATAAACAATACTTACATCGAGCCTGCAATAATTTCACTCAAAATCATTCTAGCGTATTTGTAATGTATTGAAATTGCTCAAGTAATTGTTTTTTTTTACATTTTCAGCACACCCATTCCATACAAGTCATGCATACTCCAGTATAGGACGCATGTAAGATATATGTATAAACTTGTTGGACAATACAAATTATCCTCTAAAACAAACCATGTTAAGCTTATACCACCAAGTGAAGTGTGACGTTGACCTTGAAGGTAGGGGTCTGGGTGCTCCGCATGAAACGTCTCATTATTGTAAACATTTGTGACAAGTAACTTCAAATATCCCTTGTACAATGAAAATGAAAAAGATGCAGTCTGGAAACCACATTTACCCTATAACAGACCATGTTAAGCTTTGGCCTCCGAGTGTGACATTGACCTTGAAGGTAGTGGTCCGGGTATTGCGTATGACACATCATCTAATTATTGTAAACATACAGTTGTGCTAAGCAATTTCAAATCCCTTGATTGCTGAAAGAGTTATGCACAGTTAAGCTTTAACCACTAGGTGTGACTTTGACATTTGTGCCGAGCAATTTCAAAATCCCTTGATCTATGAAATGGTTATGGGCCTGACACAATGCCATCATATTAAAGTAGTTTATTCACGAGAAGATGGTAAATATTAAACAGAAAGTTAAAATTATCTTATTGTATTTGAAAAAAAGCGATTATTCAAAATAACAAATTGGAAAGTTGAACGCATGTCTTTTGGGATATTTCAAATACACAAACGAACAATAAACAGAATAGGTGAGCACATACATACTAAAAGTTTTAAACAGTTAAAGTTATTAACTTTTCAGTTCAATTTAGTTGAATGAATGGCTGTTTCAGAAAACAACATGCAAACATGATACCAACTCTGGTGGTGATAAATGAACATATTTATTAAATGTGATATTGTTTTTTTTTAAATATTTAAAAAAACAACTTAAAAAATATACTTAGTAAAAAGTAAAAAATATATACAATTTAAGTAAGGATGTAGGGCTTGTATGTATATTTTTACATTTATTTTGGTTATTAACGTGGATCGAAAGTGTCATTTATAATGCCGAAATAACTTCCTTTGTTCACTTGAAATTCCTTTTACATTCCTTTAAAATATTTAATACTTGTTGGAACCTTAACATGAATCTGGAACCATACTGCTTTATAGGCATATTACAATATTCAAGCGTAAGTTGCAGCTGCCCTTCCGAGCATTATTTCTGGCACGAGCGGGCACTCTGGCAGAATCACTGATCTTCCGATAACAACATCATGTACAAAATTTGATTATCTCGGGAGAGAATCGAACCAAAAGCAAAAAGGGGCAAGTAGTTTTATATTTGCTTCTTTAACTAATTTACCGCGAAAGCCTCAAATTTTAACTTGCATACAAAATTCACTGTAACTGACACTGTTAATATATTGCATGTGAATTTAGTATTTCATGATCACAAAAGACGAAAGGTAAATAAGATTTTATTTATCTTTCTTATAAGTGTTTACATTAAAACAATCAGTGTTTGTATTATCGCACGTTTATTGTACATATATATGATAACATTTTAGTCATGGAACAATATAAAACAAGTTCACAAATGAACTTGATGAGATTCATTCATGTGTGGTATTGGTAGCCTTTCTTAAGATCAGAAACGCGGATGAAAATATAGAGCTTTTCAATTTTCAAGGTAATTCTATAAAATATGTTCGAGAGGAAGTAATAGATTCCTCTGGGCCGTAATTACATTCCATTATCTCATCAGGGACAATGAAAGTACACTTTCTGAAAATTAAGAATGAAATCAGGTCCACACAACACACCTAATGTTTGTTTACTTCAATTTTGGGTAATGGGAACTGATAATATTGTTGACTTATCACTACGATGATAAACAAATACAAAACAGACTACAACTTTGATTTTATATTGGTATAATTGCTGAAAATAAGATATTGCATTTTTTTGCCTTTTGTAAAATAAAAATGATAGCAAACGTGTCAGATGAAGGACGTTTTACAGGAGATGTTTCAATTTTGTTAGATATAACTGTTGCTCGGCAACTGTGTTACAGTGTATGCTACACGATATGCGTCTCATTTCATTCCAGTAAGCAACTTCCAGAAGGTGTCTGTTATCAAGTGGTTGAGGTAGCTGATTTAGAATAACTTGCCCTCATCGCTGTAGGTTCAAATCATACCATGAGAAAACTGTTCATTTAGTTTATGGCCGGCCAGTAATTCTACTCAGCTGGAGTGAGGACACTTTAGGTCTTCCATCACCGGTAGAGATGTAAAACCCGCCTTGTGAGCTGTGGTATATTAAATTTGGCAGTTCTACACAACCTTTCATGTTTACTATTTTGCGTTTTGATGAATTAAAGATAGACATATTCTTAAAATATTTTACAATATAAAATAAAGCTATGCCTAAATATCGAACGAATAACAATTAAACATGTCATGTATGTCTGTACAATATCCATATTTTTATGAATACGCATTCCTCTTGATGCAATATGACGCCATCAACATCCCCTCGTGTTTGCTTAATCGTTTACTTTACAGGGACTCATCTGAGGTATTTTGACATGATAGGACTGGAAATATTTTCTGAGATTATTATTTCATTTGATGTAGGTCTGGACCAATTATTTGTGCGTGCATTTTCAGCTTATTTACTCTTTCCGTTTTCCACAATGACCATTTCTGTAGTACAAAGGACCCAAAATGAAAAACGTTGCAACGCCTTTCGCTCGAGATCGACCAAGAATTGTACAAAAATCGATTCCAACTGATTTCTGAATATACTTCTTTGTTATCCTTTGTGTAATTTTGTAATTAAAGTGCTTCATTTGATATTCGTTAGATCTTGAAATTATATGTTTGATCTTAGTGGAGATATTTATAAACTTCCAAAAATATTGTTATTCATCCTACTTTAAAATAAAAATAAAGAAATGGAAATTGTGAAAAAGATATCTATTCACCATTTCATAGAAACTTTTTATTACTAGTTGTATATCTCTAAAAAGTACTAAATAAGCGAGTCTTATCTTATTTGGATATATATATTTCAGCGTAAATGATATACCTCAGTACATAGATTACATAATTATAATCTTAGTTGTAAATAATATGAAACAATGTCATAATGATTTTTAACTTTAATAGGTCAAAGTGGACATAGGATATCTAGCTTCGGGTGACAGTTAAGAAAAGATAAGAAAAGATAAAGACTGAAGCTATAATAGGAAACTGAAGGATACAGCGGAATATTTGGTCGGAATTAGGGACAAATGAACTTACAACACACTAAATGAGAGTTAATTAGAATATGCGGGGCTTTTTTTTAACATTTATATCATAGTGTATCATTTAGATAGTATCATTTTAAAGGCCTTCATCAGTATCCGTTATGTCACACATTTTCGACACTTGCACTGTTCACATCGCTTGTTTTCATTTCAAAATTAAACCAAGATCTTTATCTTTTGAAATTGCTTCGCATCAACGTATAAAATCATAGAATTTTATAAATAATCTATTTTTTTAACTATGAGAAAGCCGACATCAAGTCACTTGAAGTTCATATTGTGATGGGTAAGGAAATAATCTTTTATAAAAGTTTTTTAATTCAAGTTCAACTGCCGTCGCTATCATCTTGCTGTGATCCATGTCATCATTAATAGCAATAAATTTCCTGAAACGATACAAAAAAGCAACCAGAAACGATTAATGTTAATGATATTCCGAGTTGCAAAAGACAATGTGCAGTCGCTTACATAGATTTTTTTATATATTTTTTAAGCAAATTATTGGCATATTTGATATCACAATTTGCAATGATGAATTGACTACAAGATGATTTTTCGGGTACATTGATTCCACCACTTTTAAGTGTTGAAAATTGAGTGCCGCCCAAGCCGGTGATAGGGGGCGTGACGGATGTTGCACCTGTAATTTTGCTGACTTTAATGCTTCCGAGGAATCACTTTTTTCACATATTTTTAGATTTGATTTTAGTTCGATTATCGCAAAATTTTGTTTCACGTGTAAAAAGCAAATGAGTGTTATAAATGTTGCACACATTCAGGTTATTTACATGTAATCAAAATTAAAAATTTCACTAAAAAGAATACCAACGTTTAGTCAATTATTACGAGTATTTGCAAAATTTTATTTCACATTTGCCAATAATTTGCCATGGTAAGTATACAAATTTCCCAGATTTCTTTTGAAACTTGTTTATAACGATATTATCAATAAGATATTGCCTCTTAAAAGACAGAAAAAACAACGGAATACTCAATGAATGCCCAAAACGACAAATAATATTAAAAATGACACAGGTTCCATATGATTGAACCTACTTATGGACAGCACTTTTAAATACAAATTCTTGCATTAGATCAAGCGTTCATTAATATAAATACCTTGGGTTATCCGTGATTTTGTTTAAATCCCATCTTGCTTTTATAAGTATATTTCGGATCATAATAAAGTAGTAATTATCATCTGTATCTAACGTATATCTGTAAAAGAGGTCAGGATTTATTGTCAGAGATATTATATATTGCTCGAAGCCTTTTCGATATTTATACAATTGTAAATCCATTTAAAAACAGATCATTTATGTTTATTTTATTCGATAAAAAATACATTACATTGTTACTGATAATTCAATATGTTACAATATTTAAAGTTTATTTCCTAAACCTATAAAGATATAATTTAAGTTACTCTACAATAAAGATAAAAACAGATAAAATTTTAGCCAAATTTATTAAACTAGGTAAACCATCACTAGTTGAACCGTTGACAAATCTAATTAACATCTCAATTAAATCAAAAGTTTTTCCGACTAAATTAAAACAAGCACAAGTAAAACCACTTTTCAAAAAAAAAAAATGACGCTATGACCAAATCTAACTATACACTTAACAAAAGTTCTAACCGATCACTTTTTAAATTTTGATTATTTTATAACGGGTCAATAGATCCTTATAAAATTTTGCAGAGATGATTTTTGTGTCAATTTCTACCGATTTGTGGAAAGAAAAATAATTTAATACGGTTTCATGTACTCGCGCGGGATACAGGGCGCGGTTTACACATTTTGGCACGAAATGTTCGTGCAGAGCGTGGTGAGTATTAAATTTTACATTGCATAAATCCTTGTTAACTTTATAAGTGAATAAACATAAAACATGGCACGAATGTCGATGCAGGATCGTGCCGTAGCAGTTGGAATGTTGAATGCTGGAGCCTCAATCAGACAGGTGAGTGGCTGGTCATAAAAATATTTTATTAAAAATATCGATAAAGTATTATTTAAATAGAAAATGTTATAATTTTATTATTCTCAATGTGGTTATTCTCTTCGAAATAAAATAAAAGTCGGATCTATTAGTATTATTCGTTTTCATGTATAAGCGAAAACTCAGGGTGATCGGTTAGAACTTTTGTTCAGTGTAGACCAGTAAGTTTATTACCTATTCCATCTAAACTTTTTGAAAAAGTATTATTTGTATCAGCTCTCTGCTTTTTTTGATGATATATTTGACAATTATTTATGTGCTTTTAGGAAAGGCCATGGGTGTCAAACTACTCTGTTAAGACTGCTTGAGGACTGGAGACAGGCCCTGGGTAACAATGAATATGTGGCAGCAATTTTGATGGACTTATCTAAGGCATTTGATTGTCTGCCACATGACATTCTTTTAGATAAGTTAAAAGCATATGGCTTATCAGGCCCTGCCACCAACCTCATGCATTCTTATCTGTCAAACAGGAAACAGCAATAAAAATAGGCAATATTGTAAGTTCATGGGCTAATATATCCAAAGGTGTCCCTCAAGGATCAATCCTGGGCCCTCTACTGTTTAATATTTTCATAAATGACATATTTTTCTTTATAAAAAAATGTACTTTATATAACTATGCAGATGAAAATACCCTTTCTTTTCGGACTAAACATTTTGATGAACTAATATGTACCTTAGAAAAAGAAAGTAACTATCTTATAAATTGGTTTCATTTTAATAAAATGCAAGCTAACCCTGATAAATTTCAAGCTATTGCTGTAGGGAAGAAAACTTTCACTAAATCCCCAGCTTTCAAAATTAATACAAGTGAAATAACATGTGACGAAATTGTAAAACTCTTTGGCATCGACATTGATCAACAATTAAATTTTAATTTTCACATAAGCAATATATGTAAAAAAGCTGCTTATCAGTTAAACATCCTCAAAAGAATAGGTCACAATTTAAATCAAACAAATAGGCTAACAATCTTCCATACTTTTATTTTGTCCAATTTTAATTTTTGTCCTATGGCATGGCATTTCTGTTCAGAAAATAATACTAACAAGATGGAAAAACTACAGGAAAGAGCACTTAGATTTGTCTATAATGATTTTAATTCAAGTTATGAAGATATGCTGATAAAAGTTAATATACCAACTCTAAAAATAAGAAGAATGAGGGCTATGGCCATTGAAACTTTTAAAAATTTTCATGATATGTCTCCTGCTGTTCTGTCTGACCTTATTGTCAAGAAAACTACTGGTATAAATTTTAAATATTCAAATATTTTGCAGATCCCGCAAGTAAGAACTACAACTACTGGTAAAAAATCTTTCAGGTGCTGCACCTGCTTTATGGAATACTCTACCTGAAAATTTTAGAAAATGTTCAAATTTTGCTCAGTTTAAAAAGTTAATTTCATCCTGGAATGGTAAACAGTGTAAATGTATTGCTTTCAGCTAACTTCTATATCTTTATTTACTCCACTTTTTATTTATTTTTCTGGGTATGAACATTTTCTTTTGGGTCACATTTATCATTTAGCTTCTTCAGTTTTTTTTGTTGTTTTTTTTTTGCTTTAAATGTGTTTTTGCTTTTCTTCCCTGTTTATGTTAATATTATCATTTAGTTTCTAGATAGGATGTTGCTTTATTTTGTGATCTTTTGTTTTGATTTTGCTTTTTGTTTTGTTGTTTTTTGCTTATCTTTCCAGCATGACTCAAGCTAGCTGTTAAATGAGTTCAACTAATGACTTACATGTTTAATACCTTCTGTCTTTGTGTAGTCTGATAACCCAAAGTCTTTCATATTTAAATAATATATATAATGTATGGTTTTGTTTAGTATTTTTATTTATTTATTTATTTAAATAATTCATTAAATTTTTAATTGTTTACTCGGTATATTATTAAACTTTAAGTAAATTTTTAGATACTAGACTTTGCTAGTGATGTAGATTTGGGTAAACTATCATTTTTAGTTTTTTAGCATATGATTCGTTTTTATAAATATATCCTAAAAGGTCTATTTTATGCATGTGATGTATATATATCATGTCTAATCATTTTTTATTGTAGCTGTTTTATCTTTGTTGATCTTATACTTTATGTTATATACAGTCGGTTATAAAAGCTCCTAGAGCTTATGTTGTACTGTTGAAAACTTGCCGACTTGAAATAAAACTTATCTATCTATCTATCTATCTATCTATCTATCTATCTATCTATCTATCTATCTATCTATCTATCTATCTATCTATCTATCTATCTATCTATCTATCTATCTATCTATCTATCTATCTATCTATCTATCTATCTATCTATCTATCTATCTATCTATCTATCTATCTATCTATCTATCTATCTATCTATCTATCTATCTATCTATCTATCTATCTATCTATCTATCTATCTATCTATCTATCTATCTATCTATCTATCTATCTATCTATCTATCTATCTATCTATCTATCTATCTATCTATCTATCTATCTATCTATCTATCTATCTATCTATCTATCTATCTATCTATCTATCTATCTATCTATCTATCTATCTATCTATCTATCTATCTATCTATCTATCTATCTATCTATCTATCTATCTATCTATCTATCTATCTATCTATCTATCTATCTATCTATCTATCTATCTATCTATCTATCTATCTATCTATCTATCTATCTATCTATCTATCTATCTACAAAAGACCCATAATCATCATTAATGCCGAAACCAATGCTGTCATTGACAATATTCTAGAACTCCATTCTGTTAAACAAACACATGATTGTTCCAATGTAATAAAGCATTCATACTATTTTAATTCATACTATTTTATCATACTGACATTAATAAATATACAGATTAAATGATCCAACATGACTTCCTAATAAGATGTTAGTTGAGGGGACATGTTAAGTATAACTGTTAGAAGATTATTTTCGACAATACAGGACAAACCTTTACATTTTTACAATACAATAAATCGTACATCATTCATTTTTAATTGTATATAAATCAATTAAATTTATTGCTTAAAGGCGCCACCTACTTGTGTTTTGGCTTTAATATTCTCTTTCTTCTGATATAATCAACTATTGCGGAACATTTTAAAAATGTTGACTTTAACATCTGAAATGAAAATATGTTTTTACAAGACTGTTCTATTTCGTAATGAAGCTTGTCTTTAAATACGATAACGTCTGTCATAAATACTTTGACCCCTCTCGAAAATTAAACCAAAGGGAAATTAAAAAATGAATTATATCAAATGATTAATATTTCGATAATTCAACAGAAAAAAAGTAAAATATGCAAGCCATTTCTGCTACTTAGTGTCCCTTGCCACAATAAGCATATTTTACTTGCTATGGACTATATAAACTTTTGTTTGTACAACATAATTATCATCTCTTTGGTCATACTAGTGTGCTTAACGTATAGTGAGTACCTCAATTGTAAATCATGCCATTCAGTCTGACAGCTTTTATACACATAAACTGAACAACTACTTTGAGAAAGATTAAAGCTGCTATTATTATATGTCTAAAACATGATGTTTTTTGTCAAGTGACTCATTTAATGACTCAATGAAAAACAGAAGCATGATGTGTGACCCTCGATTCCTTGTGGCACAGAAGAAAACGAGTTGAAGCAGAAAACTACATTACCTTGACAGGAACATGTAAGTGTAAGAGATACTAAGAAAATCGATGCCGTATGGACCTTCTCTGAATGCATTATCTTAGCTTTTTACAAGTACCAATACGAATAAGAATTGATCATTTGAATAAATGTATATATTCGATGGCCTAAATCTTTCTTTTTGCGTTAATTAACTAAGGTAAAAGTCAGATATACTTAGATGATGCAATAATTAAAAAAATAATGAATGGATATTTGCAACAAAATAGAAATTTTCTGAAAGGTGTAAAGATATTTTATGACGGTACTGTATTAGCGGGTTATCTTTTTTGTTTTGTTATTATACTTTTTATTGGTAAACTGCCTTTTGAATAACACTGACATTTGAATTACCTGTTTCGAATCAGGATCTGCCAAAGTATTATTGTTCTCCAATTCAACAATATGATCTTTCAAACAATTTAATGTTTCGTCGATAAAGTATCTTATCTCTTTCTGAAAATTAAAGATAAAACAGAGTTAATAGTTAAACTTGACATATATAGAAAAATCCGTTTTCGTTTGGTATATCGCTTGGTAGAAAACTTAATTCTAAGATCCCTAGAGGTAAAAGTGACTTGCAAATGTCATTTTTTTTCCCATGTTCACAACTTGACCAACCTATATTTTTGTTGGCTGATTAAATTTAGCATTCTAATACGTTTTTTTAAATAACTTTATATTTCGCAACCTGTTATTTGGTTTATACAGAATTTATTTAATTTTGATCGTGTAGGAATCTAGAAGCTTATAGACACATATCGAATCCGTTCTTGGAACCAACAAGTACTGAGCAACGAGTGTAAAATTTCTTGCTCAAGAAAACAACGATTGCCCCTGACGGGGTTTTGACCCATACGGCGATGATTAGATTACTAGTCCGACGCGATAACTTCTCGGTCATGTCGCCACACGAACCTTTTTATTTAAAAAGGGGATGATCAACTTCCTACTTAGATCAAAGACAGTAAAATAGGAAAACATGCATTAACGAATAAAATCACGAGGGTTGTTTGTTTAAAAATGCATGTCTCGGGGCGCTATGAAAAACTAGCTCACTTTTATGCATGAATAGCGAATCTATCCATCTAATAAAGTACCCCGACTTCGGGCTTCTGCAGATATTAATGCACTAAAACAAATGCATAAACATACAGTTATTACACACACATTTTATTTACATTTTTAGCAGTACTGTCTACAATAACACGTTCAGTCATAAAAACTGTATTCTCTATCAAAACACGTTACTAACCTTTTGAGTTTTAAAATGCATATGCAGTAACTCTTCTAAATCTGTAATTGACACTGCCCTGCAAGAACAAATATTTATGAAAATATGAAATATGTCGTTTAAGTGATTATCCTAACTTGCTTGAAATATATACCTGATGTTTTGTTAATTGACCCTTTCCTTTAGTAAACAAATGTAATCGTTTTTATGAGACATTCATACAAAAAATATACATTTACAAAACTAGAGGTAATAGAATTTTGTTTCTTGCATATCAGACTGGCGTTTCCATAAGTTTTACCCATGCTGGAAATTTCATCTGGCATATGGGATGCCAGATAAGTCGCGTGCTGTACAA